GTTTTGTTGGTGTATATTTAATATACTTCTAATCGCTATTTCAGTATTTCTTTCTAATTACTTCTCTCTCTGTTTTTCTCTCTCTCTATTTTCTCTTCACTTGAAAAAATCATAATGGTGTGGAGAGGATGGCTAAAAGGGGAGAAGGGAGGCCATCCAAAAAAAAGAGAGTCTGAATAAAAAAAATTGAGCAGAACTTGAGGCCGGTGTCATGAGTCATGCGCAAAACAATAAAAAACAATTTTTTTTCTAATCCAATTGTTCTTTTTATTTGCATTTCTCTCCCTAAAAGATGCAGTAATTTTTGCTCATACATCAATGAACTGTATTCCTCTCATATGTTCATACAGCCACTGGCTTTTTATTCATGTTATATTTTTGGGAGGGGGGGGGTTGGAAAATGCTGCTGGAGTGCTTTTGTCCTAGAAACAGCTCATGTTTTTAAAATCTGCTTACTTCTTCTTGTCCTACTTTTTCCATGAGCAATAAAAACACAAACATAGCCAATAAAAAGTTTGACAAAAGCCTTTTTTTTTTTCTTTTTTTTTTTTTTTCTTTTTTTAACATGGTAGACAAAAGTGTTTTACATGTGCGATTGTTCTGGGATCTTAAAAGTGTGCAGTTATTTCTAATCCTTTACCAAATGGAGCAAAAAAAAAAAAACGGACATCCTTATGTCTGGTGATTTGGTGTAACCTCCCCTTCCTGCTGCATGTTTTGTTCTTCTGTCCATCACTGTCTTTTTTTCTGAGAGCTGTATAAACATTATGCTGATGTGTCTGGATGGATGAGTCTGACTTTGGCTTACTGTCGCCTCAGCATGTTCTTGGATGCAGAACACAGACAGATTCCAGGTCAATGTAAGGACAAACCTCAGTCTAAACTCAGTAAACACATCAGGTACCCGCGGGAAAACACTGCACGCAGTAAAAGGATGAAAACCTAATTTAGCTAAACCTAGATATACCCGCTAGCTGTGTAAAACAGTTGTTTGGAGTATTTGAGGCGAGTCACAGCGGAATGACAAACGTAAACATTTAAACTGGTGACTCTCATGCTGTATCTGAAACGTATAAAAGTTTGCATTGTGTGAAAGTGCCAGCAGCATCATTCTGCTGACACCAATAAAACCATCCCAGCTGTGCAGAGTTATTGTCTGAGAAGCCGTTAAACAGGGTTCCCACGGGTCCTTGAAAGTCCTTGAGAGTTTGTAAATTTGAAAAAAGGATTTCAAGGCCCTGGAAAGTTTGTGAAAACAGCCAAAAATTACACTGGTCCTTGAAAGTACTTGAATAATTTTTGGGGATTGAAGTTCTCTAATCACACAACTGATTTTCATCAAATGTAAGAAAAAATAAAAAACTTACATTTGTTGCAGTGGATAACTCAGGATTACGGTAATTGATGTGGCTTTCAACAACTAACGTGAGCCATAGTCATAGTTTTATCCAATCAGAGCAGAGTAGGGCAGGTCATTCTTTCTGAGCCCAGGTGAAAGCACCACAGCTCCTCCTGTCCTCACCGAACGTCTGAATATGTTCACATCCCCTCCTCCCAAACTGAGCTGCTCAACCTCCCAGGACATAATTACATGTCCATGTATTGTAGATATGAATGTAGGGTAAACATTTAATTCACTTTCTTACATTATTCCCAGTTTTTCATTGAATTTACATGATATTAAAGCTGTTTATTGGTAACATTCTGGGGTAGCAGTAAGCAATTGCCATCGCGCATGGTTCTTGAATTTGAGGAAATTGATACTGGAAAGTCCTTGAAAGGTCCTTGAATTCGATGTTGACCAAGGTGTGGGAACCCTGGTTAAAATCAGAACTGCAAACAGAACCAGTTAGACTCGGTGACCTTGACTCAGGCGGCCGCAGCACCAGTGCTGTGTACCATGGCCCCGTCACTGTAATGGAGACCTCATTCGACTGAGATATTACAGGGGGGCCAACGTGGGGAAGGTTTTGTGGAAGGAAAGTGAAAACAGCAAAGAAAAGAGATGCAGGGGATATTAAAGAGGGGCAGCATCCAGATCAGTTAAAAACTACAATTACATGTTTAGTTAGCCAAAAATGCTCTTAGGCTAAATCTTCTGTCAGATGTGATTATGGAGAATTGGATCAGACCATTTTCCTATAATGAACAAAAACCTTGTAAAGACTATCCTAGTGTTAAACATTTTTTTTAATTATTGTTTTTTTTTTTACTGATAATTCTCCAATTATTCAAAAGTTGCTTATTTATGAAGAGGTGTGTTTCTTTCATTCTCACAGTAAAGACCTGCTCACTCTCCGTCGTGTTCGGCTTGCTTCAGTAAGACACAACGCATTAGCCTTTGGACCCAACCCCCAAATAACCACTTATTCTGTACATTACTCAGGGCCATTTTTCCTAATGGGCTTCGGCAAGTAAATCATGTCAACCCACTCCCATTTAGCGACTGTATGTTTTATTAATTCTCAGCTAATCTAAATTACCATCTGTGAGTCCAAGGGAAGGAAATTAAACCAACAAAGTCTGGGCTTTGCCAGGATTCTTTTTACTAGCGAGCTTGTAGCAAGGATCCAGAAGTTGAAGGCTATAAACATGACTGCTGGTTAGTCAGTTATAGATGACAGCAAAACAGTAATCAAGGATGTTGCTTCAGATTGAGGATTTATCTGCCAAAAACTAAGTCAGAGAAAATGTACTTATGCTAAAAATGGTTTGACTAGTACCGTAAATATTAAGTGAGTATTTTTCTATTTGAGTCTAAAGAGTCCAAGTCTGTATTTTACCAGGAGAATCAGAAGTGTTTTGTGTTTGGAAGTGTAAGCTCAGGTTTTTCAGCAGACGATGGACAGCTCGAGACACTTGGCAGAAAATCAAAGAGTGGGTATTCCAGATTTGTGCAGTTCTGTCTGGCTGCCGGACCCAGATCCTTTAATCAACCTCTTGGCCCAGTGACTCTTGGGATTAATGCCCCCCACCTCGAATGCTCATTGTCTGGTTTTCCCTCTTGCAGAACTGAAGGATTTCATTTGTAGAGTGTTTCAGAGACCTGCAATTGGTGCTTTTATGGCTTCAAGCATTACACACCAGGCACTATTGTTGGGGCTTTCACCATGATTGTGAGTGGCAGAGGGACTTGTCGGTCCCTGCGGTGTGAATTAGCCACACCCACCCCCACCCACCATGTCACCCTCCACTCCGGACTCCAATCTTGTAATCACCAATCAGGTTCCTCCTGTCTTTATCCTGAGAGTCTAATATCTAAACTGCAAAATCTGGTAACGCTACAAACCTGGTGAGCCAAGAAGTAGCAAAGCCAGTCGGTGGGGAGCAAGGTGGGGGAGTCAGGATAATTTCAGGATGTGTGTGTGCGCCTGCTTAGAGCTGGTATTAAACGATAACACACACCTGGTGTGTCAGTAGTAGAGAAGGGAACAGATGGTAGGAGGTTTGGTTCATTGCAGGCCTGGGCAGTTATTACAAGTGGAGATCTATCAACAATCTCACCTAAAGGTAACTAATAATGTTTGACTTGCAGTGTGATCATTTTTGTGCTTAGCAAACCTCAAAGTGTTACCTTTTTATGTTAAGACTAAAATCTGCATGTAAAGTTCATCCTTTTTCTTTGTTACTGGTTCATGTTGGYAACAAAATAATGTTATAGCAGCTTTGCACAAGTCTGAACAGTAGATAAGAAAAGAGATTCATTAAAAACCTGGGAAAAGCTGCAGTACCAAACACAGTAGAGCAGTGTCAGTAGTGTTAATTGCCTGTGTGCCTCCTGGTGTGCTTTTGGACTGCAGTTTAAGTGCTTGTGTGTGTGTGTGTGTGTGTGTGTGTGTGTGTGTGTGTGTGTGTGTGTGCGCTGGGTTTTGCTTGGCGGAGCAAAATGTTGCTGATGAGGTGAATTGAGTATCTTTGGAGCTGTGCACCATTGCCTTTTGTCTGGGGACCGTGTCCTGAGAGCTGGGAGTGGGTGTGTTTCCTCAAGGTCGTTCCAGATTCGTTGTACTCACTTAGCATTTTTATGTGTGCGCACATGTGCAACTGGATCATTTACAGCCATTTATGAATTATTGAATATTTGACGTGTTGAAGTAGAAATCAGAATTTGTATATTCTGGGGTATTTTGTTTAATGAAACACATTATTCAGGTAATGGGATAGGATTTTGATGTAATACAGAGTAATACAGCTTTATAGAATGGATCTTTTAGTGGAGCAGTGTCCTCCAGGGGTTTAACCTCCCACTGTATGTTGACCTGATTCACAGATGGCCACAATTTGGCACAACAGTGGGGAAAAAAATACATTTTACTCAGTCTGAATTGGATTGTGTGGCAGGTTGCAAAATAGGTAACCTTTTAAAAAGGAAAAATATGCCTGAATGTCTCCTTACAATTAGACAGGTACCACTGTTGCAGCTCTAGTACTAACACATTTTTTGTTGTGCAAGTGAAAGATTGAGCATCCTTAAAATAAAGGGTGTCGATGACATAACATTAACTTTTGTTGGGATATATTAAAACAGCTCAGCTGTAACCCTCAATTTTCTGAGGACATTTTGTTAAATGACAAATTGGACAAGCTTGACTTGTTATGATAATTCAAATAGAAAATTCAGAAACTATTTATTGCCTCAACTGTTCAGTTTAAACAGTGACACCTGGAGGAAGAATAGCTTCAACACAGTTTTATGACTATTCCAGCAAATAGGACTGGCTGTTACAGCCTATAAATTATTTGTGATGTTAGTAAAACATTGTATCTTATATGTTTTTAATCATGATTTTTATTCTCTCCCCAGAGTAACTACCTGGTGTTTATGGCAGAGCTGTTTTGGTGGTTTGAGGTGGTTAAGCCTTCTTTTGTAAAGCCAAGAATGTTGGACARTGAAGGCACAGGCAAGTATTAAATGTTTCCTATGCAATAGCCACAGCCGTAGCAAAATTTAGAGTTTGTTACAAAAATTAAGTTGATTAAATATTGTTTTTATTTGGTAACATTACCTGTAGGCTTATTTTATCTATTAATTTTAATGAATGCTACAATATGAAATGGTGGTCTATTGTTAAAGCTCAGTTTTATAACTTGTTTTTGATGCACGACTTCAGAATCATCACTATTAAAGAATATACCAGTCATCCCCATCTCCAAGGTGACTAAGAGAAGTTTCTTAGAAAGACCTCCAAGTCCCGAAAGACCCAGGTAAGTTATTCTAAGTAGTTACTTTGAAAGCGCATGAACTTGTAAGTGAAGACATTTAAATGCAGTATTGTAATAAATGCACACCATGATGTGCTCATCATTTCTTTCATTTTCTAGTTTGCCCCTCCGACCCCAGCCTCGAAACTCAGGTCAGTAATTTATTTATTTATTTTTTAACTAACCACAATTGTAGGTTTATATGCAAATCCAAATCTGATTAGTTGCTTGTGCTTTTTTTTTTTTGATTAATATGGCTTTTGTGTTATTCAGGAGAGATCAAGAGGTCAACCTCCATGTCCTTCGTTGATGGCAACCTTGGGACATGGCCCAAAGAGAAAAGGTTAGTAATGATGTGGTCCTATTGATGTGTGAGACATAAGTATTTATAGATTAGGAAAATGTTGTTGGCTTTTTAAAATCTCAAAAAGAAACTGCAGATTTATTTATAGTTGTGCGTTGTTTTTCCATTAAGATCTGGGCCTTATGGAGTATCGTTTGACATCCCCTTTGACAAAGAAGACTCTGCTCCTACCCTACTTTCCTCCAGCCGGGGCATGGTCAGGTCCGTCAGCACCGACGATGGTTCTGGATTCAAGGTCCACCACATGCCTCGCGGAATGAAGCGCAACCTGTCCTTCCAGCCAGTGAACGGTCAGAGTGTTGGCATTGAAGAGGAAGGCTGCCCAGACAGCCTTGCTRGCATGGAGACTAACAGGCGACCGTACCCCAACGGACACGGAGCGGTCGTGGGAACAGCTTCTTCCATGGACGAAGTGCTCCACGTTGTCCACAGTCCAAATAGACCACCTGCAGAGGGCATCAACAATGGTTTCTTCTTGCACAGTCAAAACCACGAAGCTGGCATTAGCGGTTTAGACCCAGTGTCGGAGCTCGACTCTAAAGACCTCCTGAGCACCACAGACACCACAGAGGTCGACACTGGTATCCACATCCGAACAGAGGACATGCTGGATGAAGACTCCTCTCTTAAAGACTGCTCTGTGAACATGGAGCTGGACATGGACTCGCCGAGCCCCGGCGCAGGCGGTCGGAGCAAATCCCCACCCGGAATGAAGATGACCAGCTTTGCCGAACAGAAGATGAGGAAGCTCAGTCCGTCGGCAGCAGATTCAGGCAGAGGCAGCAGCAGCTCCATGAAAACAACTCCCGAAGGTTCTGAGTTCTGCCTTCCATTATCCGTCTCCTGGGCACCGACCCCCGAGCACAGCCCCGTCCATCAACAAACCCCACCACCTGCTCCCGTTCAGGCATCGCCCAAATCTGTCCAGCTTCCGCCCAATGACCCCGCTCAGGTCATGGCTACAGAAATGGTGCAGCTGAAGCTGAGGCTTGAGGAGAAGAGGAAAGCCATCGAAGCGCAGAAGAAGAAAGTAGAGGCTGCTTTTACCAGACATCGACAGAAGATGGGCCACTCCGYATTCCTAAATGTGGTGAAGAGAAAAGCTGACGGAGCTGCCAGCGGAGAGGAAAGCATGAAAACCAATGGAGAAGGGAAGTCAGAAAGTGCAACAGTGACATTTGGTAGGAGCAAGGCAGACACACCTGATGGGGCTGAACAGAGCAGCACAACCACGTGTTGGAAAAAGCCACCAGGTGCCGGAGAGGAAGGCGGTCAAAGCCACGCTCAGCTGACAGAACTGGATCTGGCAGAATACACACGTTCCATCGAGAAGCTCAACCATTCCTTGGCTTTCCTTCAGGCGGAGATGCAGCGATTGTCTCAGCAGCAGGAAGTGATCATGGCCATGAGGGAACAACAGCATCAGCAGGCGTGGGTCATTCCTCCTCCCCACACAAACCCCTCGCCACAAAAACACACCCGACCAGTCACCCGATCGTCGGGGCCCTCTTCCCCCGCCGACTCCCCTCGCTCCGCCCATCGCTCGCCAACCAGCATCAAGCGCAAGTCGGCCTCGTTCCACTCACGGAATCCTCGCACCGCCCGGCCCAGCGAGCTCAAGTTGGCTCCATACAGCCGGGTCCTGAAAGCTCCGCAGTCTGTTGATAGCATTCCAAGACTACGGCGATTTTCTCCCTGTCAGCCTGCGGTAAGCTCTTTCATCTACATGGGAGAGAAGCCGGCAGCTCACAGTCCAGAGACGGCAGCTCCAGATGGTGACAGTAACAAGGATGCGGAGGCACTCGTGCCCCCAGAGAGAGAGCTGGTGGCTACATGTGCAGCCGTATCGCCACTCAGCTCCCCCAGCCGGCAGATCAAAGGAGGAGAAACTGAAGTGGATATAAATGCCCTGCCAACAGAGGGTCACGGTCTCTTAAAGACTTCTGACATGGAAACAGATGAGCAGGATGACAGCACTCAGAAACCTTTGATAGAACTAAAACCTACAATAGAGACATCATTCCCCGAGGTTCTGTCCCACCCTGTGGTAGAGACCTTCACACTGACACCCACAGAGATACCATCTAAGCCAGAACCCTCTGTCCAAGCCAAGAGCAGTCTAATGGAGGTTCCTTTGTCAGTTGTAAAGCCCATAGAAGATCTGATAATTGACGATGTTCTGGAAGTGGATCAGGACAGTATGGAGAGCTTGGATGATGAACAAAAGCTGTGTCGTGGTTTCTTCTTCAAAGTAAGTTCAGTATGTTCCTATAATATAACATAAAGCATATCGAACAAATGGAACGCCATATTTTTTTAGGAAAGACTCTTGTCCCTCATTTCCAATTATTAATGGTTCAGGAAATATACAGGCTGAAGACAGCGTCCTCTTCCCTCTTGCCATTTTTAGAGTGTGAAACAGTTGTTAGCTGCTGTGATGCTTTGATGTAGGTCAGAAAAGTGGGGCTGCTGTGAATAATTTAGGCTCAGCTGTGGAAACTTGGGGTTGGAGAAGGGTTGGCTCGATTATAAGATTTGAGAAGGAATTATTAACTTAAAAAATACTTAAACTTAACCAGACATTTTATGAATTTGACAAGAAATAGAAATGTATTTTGTTATATGATCATGGTTAAATCATCAGTTTAAGTGAAGCCATTTGTTTTATTACAGTAGATCTGACCTAATTTATTAAAATATATATATTTTTGCCATCCTCTAGCATTTTATTTAATGCTTATTTAAAGTGCCTGTGACATCAGTTATTTGTGATAAATGTGATTGCACTGTTGGAAAGATAACATATTGCAAAAGCATTTTCACACCACTGAGATGAATAGTTGTTGAGATATTTGCATGTGAAGTAACAGGAAGTGATGTGAAAGGGGAATGTCATGCATGTAAACAGAGCATTGCTACAAGAGCTAGCAACACAGACAGAAGGGAATTTTCTTTAAATAATTTTAGTCCCTATAGGAGAGAGTTGAAGAAAAGTCAGAGTTAAAATAATATTGTTTTAATAAACAAAGACCAGGGAGTTTTCTTTCTTAAAGAGGTCCCCTTTGATGTCACTTCCTGTTTCACTTTAGCTGAGCCAAATTCTAAGGAAAATATGCCAGTTATGTGACAAAATGGGTTAAATGATGTGTTATTGCCAATTTTCTTAAATGTGAAGATATTTTCTTTGACTTTTTGTATTTGAGGGATAGGCCTGTCACAGGCACTTTAAACTTTATAACACATAGAAATAAATACCACTTTTAAAGAAAAAGAAGTCAGKTTTTTTTGTATTTAATGCAAGAGAATGCAGTGTTCATTTTGCACCATATTACAAAAGAGGTGTATCACTTCAGATTGTATAATATTATGCACACACGAGCTCTCAGTCTTTTCACAGTCATGGACAGACAACTTTAATAAAAGATTAAGGAGTAAAAATATATAAACATATCAAATATTTATTAGTAGCCTAATGTGACCCGGGTTGCAGTCACTTTAGAACATGGAGCAGACTGAYTGTTTTGGTTTTCATCAGGAGGATGGAAAGGCAGAAGAAAATATGGCACAGAAGAGGGCTGCTCTGCTGGAGAAAAGAATGAGAAGAGAAAAAGAGAGCCAACTGAAAAAGATGCAACTGGAAGCGGAGCTGGAACAAAAGAAAGAGGAAGCTCGGTAAGCAGATTTCTATCTTTTTCTATTGTGTGATAAAAGTTCTAAAAGTCATTCATCAACTTTGCTTAGTTTCTTTCTTAACTTTTCTTTCTCCTTCTTAGTTTTACAGTAATTTCATTTAATCAGTGGCTGATAAATAGTTTAGGGCAGTGCACCCCTTTCAACATACATCAAACAAAAACCCAGTTCATCTTATTACATCCATGACTCTCCTTCCATCCCTTCATGTGTTCAGACTGAAAGCAGAGGAGGAGCGAGTCAGAAAAGAGGAGGACAAGGCCAGGAAGGAGTTCATCAAGCAGGAGTACCTCAGGAGGAAGCAGCTGAAGCTGATGGAGGACATGGACACAATCATCAAGCCCAGAGCGGCCGGGGGTGCCAAGCAGAGGCGGGCCCGACCCAAGTCTATCCATCGTGACAGCATCGACTCTCCAAAGACCCCTGTCAGAGCTGCCACAGGTAACCATGGCCGACACCTTTGTCAAATCACTGTCCTGTGGCATCAAATGGTATACGCTCTCTGGTTTTATTGTGTTTTATTCATAAATTATACAAATTATGAGGTAATTGTAAAAATTATTAATAGCAAAAAGCAACATATTTGCAACAAACAAACCCCAGATCATACATTCTAAATCTAATTTTGTAGTTTAGTATTTAAACTTGTATATATGCGTTAAAGGTTGTCACGTATTTTTTCTCTGCATTATATTAAACATGTTAGTTCAATGCAGTCGTTTCATCGCTCATTTGCACAAACGTAAGAGTCTTGTGTTGTTTACATTTGTGGTGTGTGTGTAATCGTGTTGTGCCACATTTTGTTGTCTCACGTCAAGGTTCACGGCAACGTGTCTTTTCAGTCTCCAGCTTGTCCCTGGCATCCCTCACCCTGGGCGACAGCGACAGCGTTCACTCCGAGAAGAGGGCACCAAGGTAGGATGCTTCGAGTCAGAAAGTGCTGCGGAAACTAAATGCGAAAGACTTCTCAAAACTTTTGGGGTAGCCTCAATTTGATGACCTCATCAGGGCTGTGTATAAATAATGTAAAATAATAAATGTGTACAGTCTAGCATGAACTGTAGTTATTTAATGTTTAAACCTGGATAATCTTCTTTAGTTATACTACTACAAAATATAATAATATAACATAAATGCACATTTGCATAACTAAAAGAGTAAATACACACACTGACCCAAATTTATGAGATTGAAGGTTTTRTATAGATATCAAATGTATAATAATTAGTGTGTCTTTAGCTGTAAATCTGCATGATTCCTCTCTGCATGATGAATCCTCTCAGRTCTAACGTTTCTTTTTCAATTTTCAATTTTGCCTTTTACTACATTCTTCCTGCTTATTCGCGACAGGAGTTCTAGTTTAGCTTCTAGCAGTCTCTTCTACTTTCTGAGCTCTCCTAAACTGAGAAAGAGAAGGTTGGTTACATTTTGTCTGTTCATTTTTAAGGCACTTCATGCTATCCAGAGACAAATCCTGCACTGATTTTATTTTTCCCCCACTACGGGTTTTTATTATGAATTGATTGATTGAGCATTTGAGGCACAAAAGAATAAAAAAATAAACGATGTTGCACTTTCTGGAGTGTTCTTGCAACCAAACCTTGGATTACCAGGGTCGTTAAAGTTTCCTGAAAACTTAATGAAGTATCTCATCTTGGAGCACTTCAACACCTTTACTGTATATGATAAAAGGTTTACAAGAATTCAAAAAAAAAAGAAAGGAAATGCTCCTCAAGTTTGGCTGTTTGGGAAGAAATTCTGAAATGCATGTAAGGTGTGAGGCAACTAAGCTGAGATACACCATAAGCTATGAAAATGACTTGTTTTTTCACCCCTTTGCTGCGCCAAATTATACCTCAGTTGTTTGTTTCACAACTCAGCTAAAAAAAAACTTTTTGTTTAAAGCCACATCACAAATTTTCTTTGTAGAACTCCACCCTGCATAAGACGCCACTTTATCAAGTCATGGCTCAGATATTTCAGTGCATACGCTTGCAAAAAGCAGCTACAGTGACTTGTTAACGTTGGCCGCTTGCAAAAGGCACCGCTAACTAATCTGATCCAAGTTTGGTTTTGGTTGCTCTATTTGAATGATTGTCTTTCTAATTCTTTATTTAATGAACTACTTAGTATTATATAATTGTAAAGCTGTTTTTGTGATGATAATGAAATTCATTTTGTACATTGACAGTTTAAAATATGACTTTTTTAGTAAATCTGCCTGTTTTTTGCTGTAGATAAAATCCCTTCCAGTTCGAGCATAAAAACCAAGTGTGGTACTTCGTCTAATTGTCCTTTTTTTCTTGACCTTGAGCACACAACACTGCACCCTTTTTTATATGCTTGCAAGCTTTGCTGCTTCACTGGTTACTGTGAAAAMTTGAAAGGTTTACTTTTATTGACTGAATAACACCTTGTTTTTGTTTTTATTTGCTTGATTTGCTGAACATTCAGAGTTGGCACACATAAAAAGAGAGACGAGATAAGAGTCAGTGTGTGTGTGTGTGTGTGTGTGTGTGTGTGTGTGTGTGTGTGTTGCTGTTTTAGGCCAGATTCTGCAGATGGCCTCCTGTCACCAAGTCGCTCCAGCAGCAGGAATGGAGAAAAGGACTGGGAAAATGCATCGACCACTTCATCTGTTACATCCAACACAGAGTACACAGGTGGGTCGACCTGATGCAGGTCTTCTGGAACGTCCGTTTTCATTTGTAATCCGCAGGCTTTTATGGCTCGTACTCTTTGTCCCAGAAAGGTAATTCTACAGAAACCTTCGTACATTATTTATCAGAAAAAGAGTAGAAATATGGAGGGAGGTCTGTGACTTAACTGGAGTGGTTATTATGGCAACAGTCTCCTCCTAATGTTTCCTGGTCTTTTCTCTCTCTCTCTCTCTCTCTCAGGACCCAGGCTGTACAAGGAGCCCAGTGCTAAATCTAACAAACACATAATCCAGAATGCTCTGTCCCATTGCTGCCTCGCAGGCAAGGTCAACGAGGGGCAAAAAAACAAGATCTTGGAGGTAACTCCCTTTTATTTTCTGGTTTATGCAGTCATGAGKAACGGATGTGCTGATGCCAGCTGGGATTAGGGATGTCTCTGGAGTAGGGCTGGGCAAAATTATTTCGTGTGCAATTAATCAAAGTAAAACTTTCAACAGTAAATGTTTGCTACTTTGCAATTACTGCGATTAGTGCCATGAGATGATGATATAGTTTGTGTGCAAGACACTAGGGGTGGAACAAAACATCAATCCACACTGATTAATTGATTAAATGATTAATGATTTATTTACTTCAAGGCAAAATGGAAACATTGATCCATGTCAAATTATATGCTTGACATGCAGTGGTGGGCACCAGCCCGCTAAAGCGCAAATCCTCTAATTGCGGACCTAAATATTTCGTTTGCACTTTAGCGGTCTTAGTAATTTTTATAATTCATAAGCAGATTTGCACTTTCTAAAATTAAAATGCAGTACTTCTAATAACTAATTATCTACCAGCCATCATTATCTTGAACAACGGAAGGTATGGCTGTCAATGAATCACAACACACGTGATCTATCCAACAGCACCCCTCCCAGATAAACACACTTATTGAGAAGGTATACAGTATATCCTTGCTGACTGTTGTTTTCAGTCACGGTTCTCATTTCCCACAATGCTTTGTGTCTGCTTACGTAGCAGGAAGGCAATGTTTAGAACTCCCTGTCCAAGAAAAAACAGTTAATGTTTGTAATCCATAGTAAAATTTTGTATGTATTGATTTACTTTACAATCGGAGCTCCTTTTTAAAAAAGAAAAAAGTTTAAACGCTGGAGCTCAATACTTGACGTAATTGGTCGAAGCAACGGGGTTAGAGACGCAGAAATGATTTAAAGATGTTATGCTGATGAAGACTGACATCTAGTGGTCAACTGGAGCAACTACATGGAAAACTTTAAAATCCAAGCTCTTATTTTGAAGTGAAGATAGTTTCCTGTACTCCGTGCTTTTGTTTCCCRTCACAAATCAAGTCCGTCATGTACCCAGAATGCATTGCTTCAGTTTTCCAATAAACAGTTTTAAAATGACTTTATTGATGCTTTTTTAATGAAAAATCCACAACAAACAAAAGAAAAAGACAAAGAAGCAGCCGAACTAGCAATCCTCAAAACTTTTTAAAGAATCAGCCAAACTAGCAATCCTCAACAACTTTTTAATTTTTACACCAGGAGCCAAAGGTCTGTTTCATGAAATCACATCCCCAGCAATCGGCGGTTGTAGGATTATGCTGTTAAAAGGTTTCATACACCGCTAGTTGGCAGTATTGTGCATATATTGTACATGAATTATTGCCAGCTAGTAAGTGTCAAGTTGAACTTGCGCTTTAAAATTAGCTTCCGCTAGTTTTTCTATGGCATAAGCGCTTTTGAAGTTGCGGACCTAAATATTTTCATAAGCGCTTTAGAAATTGTGTAGATAATTTTTGGATTAGCGCTGCCCACCACTGTTGACGTGGATCAGTATATTGATCGCAGACTTAATTGAATCGAAATCGTATCATGAATGACTTTGAGATATTGAAAACTTCATTTTGTCATCCAAACAAATCAGTATATTGTATTGTGATAAAGGTGGTGATTTACACCCCTATGACACACTATCAGACTCGTGAGCCCAATGGTGGAAGGTGGCGTGGAGCAATTAATGCTGACTGACTTTAACCACATGAAACACCAGCATAAGTCGATGTACGAGGACCAGGGCCACTTTGGCCACAAGCAAGTGCAATCGTCATCTATTAATTGTCATATTAATCGTTATCAGCTAACTGCCAAAATTAATATTGCCCAACCATACTCTGAAATTGTCCAAGTTCTGTTATCCCTGTCTATGTTGCCTTAGATAAACATAGGTATAAGAGTGGCAACGCTTTAAAACAAACACCCAAAACTTCAAAGAACACACAGATTTCCTGGAGTAAAGTGTGTTGCATTGATCCTTAATGAGTTTCGCTACTTTGGCCTCAACAGGAAATGGAAAAATCTGAGGCCAACAACTTCTTGGTTTTGTTCCGGGATTCCGGCTGCCAGTTTCGATCCGTCTACACTTACTGCCCCGAGACCGAGGAGATCAACAGGCTGGCAGGCATCGGCCCGAAGAGCATCACACGCAAGATGATAGACGGGCTCTACAAGTACAACTCAGACAAGAAGCAGTTCAGTCAGATCCCAGCTAAAACCATGTCGGCCAGCGTGGACGCCGTGACGATCCACAACCACCTCTGGCAAACCAAGAAGCCAGCCACCCCTAAGAAAGTAGTGCCTGTGCAGGCCTAATGGAACCTACCCCAACAATACTCCTCCAAAATATCCATCTCAGTTTGCACTCCACTGTACATATCCATAAAGATTCAAAACACCTGCAATGCCAGTTTGAGGAATGCATATTTGTCTTTTTTTATTCGTTTCTCCTCTCACAGCATTCCTGTCCTTGTTTATCCTTCATACTATGACCAGGATGAGACAAGACTTAAAAGATTAGGAACAACTGGAATGTAAAACAGTGTTAAAATGATGTATTCACGTGTTTTTAGAGATTGACATGTTTGGGTCCGTTTATAAAGGCGTGTAGTTCCTGTTTGTATGTGCCAAACGTCAAAAAGAAGACCGTATGAATGCTAGAACCTTTTACTCAGTACAATGAAGCACTGAATGTTTCCAAATCATGCAGATTAATTATTTTTTCTTTGTGTTATTCTGTTGATGTTCAGCCTTATGCACTTTTTTTTTGTGTGTGCGCGAGTGCAATGAAGTGATTGTAAAGCAGAAGATTTTTTTGTAATTGAGAGAATACGGTTTTGTTTTATTCTCTGTGGGTAAAACTGTTTGTATATTAGAGTACGTACAACTCCAAAGGGCCAAAAAGAATAATTGCATACAGCTAGTATTAACCACACAGTTCATGTGTGCTCAGCTCAACAAACCCAAGAGGTTTCAGCTTTTTCTAAGTCCCCGTTTGAGGAAGTGATTTTTGAAGAATACAGGTGAGTGATGCTATAATGAACAAAATGCCAACAATGGATTTTTAATGTACAGACTGTTGTTTTTGTAATTTTAGTTAGAAGTTTCTTGTTTTCTGAATATACAAGTCATTGCAATTAGGTTAAATTATCACTTAGTTGGAAGTAGAGTTCATAGAGTTTACAGTAGGATTGGAAAAATTGGAGAGTCTGTTTTTACAGCTGTTTCACAGCAGGTATGTGAACAAATAAAACACCTCTGTATTATTTTATTTATTAACAAATGCTGCTGACATGCAGGATCTTTGCATCATACAAATGTAATGTACAATTTKTTTTACCTGCAGGTGTGAGCAATTTGAAATTCAAGTAATACAGACACCAGAGGTTTTGCTATTTATTACAACTTTGAAGTAAATTCCACAGAATTCACAATGTGCAGTTAAAGCATGCTCACAAAGCAGCAAATTACACCAAGCTTAGAGCATGTGGATTTCAGATTGATTTAAATTGTTTGATTTCAAAATAATAAAATATGCATCACAATTCATAAAATTGTTGCTAATATGTGCATCTGTTGCTGCACAAATAAGTATTCATATAAACAAATTAATAAGTAGTGAGTGCACAGGCAGCCTCTAAATACAACTTGTCCTAAATAGGTCAGACTCATGGTGATTTTGCTTGAGTTTATTTTATTTTAATGTAAGTTTGCATAAAATTGCAAAGCAGACAAGAGTGGAGCCTAACTGCTGCATACGGGTAGAGACTCATCACTGGGTTTCATTGGTGTCTGGTTACGTGACTCGCTACAGAAAGTCAAATTAACACCATGTGTGATTTTGACTAAAAAATTTGACAACATGGTGCTTTATTATTTTGTTAATRGCGATATTTATGACCACGTGGGAGGATGTAGGTGTCTGAGGAAATGTAATCTAGTATGACAGAGAGAAGTGTTTGTCTTCAGGGAGCTCTGTCTGTTGCTTTTTGGCTGTTTAAGGCCAAAGGGAAAAGATCATTTAAAGTGTAATGATTCTGTATATTGTGTTTGTGAGCTTTCTCTTCGCTCTGATACTTTTKTTTGTCAAAATGCTGTGCTGTCATCTGCCATCCTGCACAACATGTAGTTTCAGATTCAGACTGATTTTATTTTAGTTTTTGCATTTAATAAATGAAAGCATGGCCTCAGCATGTGTAATGGTTTTCTTTAGTTTTTTTATTTTTCCATTTGTTGGGAGTTTTATCACAATCAACTTTAAAGTGACGGAGAAAAGTTTAAACCTAACTAAATATCCTCTTATTAAGACATTCACTTAGTTAGATTCCAAATTTGTCTTAAAGAGATAAAATTTTCTGTTTTTAAACTCAAACAAGACTGAGGTTTGTGGTCTTTGGACCTGAACATTGTAGTGCAGGGGCGGGGCCAGAGGGTCATTGGCCCCAGCTGAAATCTGATTGGTCCCCTGAAGTGCCCCTGTCCTGTCACTCATCTGTCCTTTACCTGGGAGTGATGATGATGATGGATGTAGTTTCATGTTCAAACTACTTGAGCTAATGCAGAGGAGCCCAAAGTTGGGCCTGCCGGCCAAATTTGGCCTGCCAAGCCATTTGATTTGACCCACCAACAGTTGCCAAAGTTACAAGAATGTAACCTGTTATCCTATGTAGAAACACAGTATCTCCATTGGTCAAACGACTATATAAAGGGGCTGTAGTGAAGGTAGTTTTCATTCATGGTTCTGACTTTATCTTTGATTTGTTAGGATTAAACATGAAACACGAAATGATAAGAAATATTTAGATCAGATTTAACCCCACATGTAGATTTACACACTTTATAAGGTCGCAAAAACTCATATTTTATCAATTTATGAAATGTCCCATGAGCCTTTGCTATGTGAGCGTATGGTAGACTTTCGTGCACAGACTAAAACAAAAGAGGGCCATTGTATAGCTTAATCGTTAAAAATAAAGGACTTTWAAAAATATTTGTGCATCTGTTGCTCTATTACTGCACAAATAACTTTTCATATGWACAAATTAATAAGTAGTGAGTGCACAGGCAGGCCTTCTCTAATGTAATTTATATTACAGCATTTGCCCCACATTCCTGGATAGATTTTCATGTTGGCCCTCTCGGGGAAAATGTTTGGGCACCCCTGGGCTAAAGAGTCAAATAGTAAAGTCCAGAATGAATCAAGCTTACAGAATCAGTTTTATTGCCATTGTCAATGAAAAGGATTCACAGACTAGGAATTTGCTTCGGTGTAAAGATGCAGTAGGTAACAAATACAACAAATGAAGAAAATAAAACAAAG